AAAACTTTTTTTGAATATCCTAGTTGGTAAGACCGACAGCTGTAGTTTTGAAAGCATGCTTAATATTGCACGTCAGCTACACACCTACAGTGGCTGCGGTCTACATTCAAGGGGCTCAATGATTTAGGTTTTTCCTTCTGCGCTTTGGTTCGCGAACACTTTTACCAAAGTTAGCTTTTAATTGTTCACTTGAACAGCTCCCTATCAGAGCTGTAGGGAGTACCTTACTATTGGTAGTTATTATGGGACTTAATGTAGACTACTTCACTACAGAGAAGGGGCGAATGAACAAGCTTACCTTGATCTTGTGGAGCTAGCTGCTTGCGTTCAGAGGACTCTTTCGCTGTTTGCATTTGCTCTGCAAAAAATCCTACTATATATAATCCGCTAAGTATGTCTGTCAGTGTGTGTGTGTGTGTGCGTCCGTCTGTCTGTCACGAAATTCATAGCACGCGTCGCAGTAAGCGTGGCACGTTGGTTCCAAGAAGTGATATAGGGGATGGGACGGGAACATTATTGGCGGGTGACAGAAAGTGATAACAGTTGATAAGATCCGATAAGGGGCCTCGGAAGGGAGGATCACCAAATTCGTAACGCAGGTTACAGCAACAGTGGGACCTTGGATCCGAGAGGTGATATAGGGTGATATGATAGTGATATGGGACGGGAATATTATTGGCGGGACGGAAGTGATAGGAGCTGAAAGTGACAAGGTAACATGGGAAAATCCGCTTCACCGCTCACAACAATGCGATCGATATGACTCAAGTATAACGATCTCAATGATTCCAACAGAACTCATTCCTCACTGCTTATTAGTAACGACATCATGTACGACCGCTAAGCTAGCTCTATTCCAAATGCATGGGTTTGTTTACAGAGATGTTATGAACAGCAGCAATTGACTTTATCACTCTTACCACAATTATCTTCCATCAACCTTAGTGAGGGCCATTTAAAGGGTTCCACTGCTGAATGCGGGAGTGCATTCCAAAGCAAGACGCTTTAAGAGGACAGAATGAAATCATAGGCTGCTTCAGCGGCTATCCTAACAGGCTGCACTATTCCCGTGTAGGTTATGAACGTACCAGTCGGATCGCTGGCTAAGGCCGGCTCTCCTCCTTCTGTGATGCGGCGGGCTGCTGCTGCTTCTGCGTCTTGACGGAACGGGCGCTGCTTTCCAGTTGGTGGTAGATAGAACATTCCTTCGAACAGACTGATTTGAACGATCCGTAACTTAGCGCGCAACAAAGCCGCATGGCCCGGCTTTGCCGGGCCATGTCACAGAAGGAGGAGCACCCGGCGACAGCTGGGCGATCCGACTGCATACCGGCATAAGAAAGTTGAAACATTTCTTGGGTCTGTCTAGTTCGCAGGACGACAGTCAATGTAATTGCGAAAGGCTTCCTCAAATATTGCACGTCACCCACACACCTACAGTTCTGGCTGCGGTCTACATTCAAGGGGCTCAATGATTTAGGGTTTTCCTTCCGCCGCGTCGTGGTTCGCGAACACTTTTTTCGAAGTTTTGTTTTTAATTGCTTTCTTGAACGTCTTCTCTATCAGAAGTAGGGAGTTCTTTACTATTAGTAGTTATTATAGAATTAACGTATACTACTTCACTAAAGAGAAGGATCGAATGAACAAGCTTACCTTGATCTTGTGGAGCTAGCTGCTTGCGTTCAGAAGGACTCTTTCGCTGTTTGCATTTGCTCTGCAAAAAATATACCGCATAACAAGCAAAACTTTTTTTGAATTATCCTAGTTGGTAAGACCGACAGCTGTAGTTTTGAAAGCATGCTTAATATTCAGCCCACAAGTCACACCTACAGTCTGCTGCGGTCCTACAATTCAAGGGCCAATTGATTTAGCGGTTTTCCTTCATGCGCTTTTGGTTTCGCAGCGACTTTTTACCGAAAGTGTGTTTTTTGATTGTTCACTTGACGTCGCGCCCTATCAGAACTGTAGGGAGTACCGTACTTTTGGTACTTATTATGGGACTAATGTAGACTACTTCACTACAGAGAAGGGGCGAAATGAACAAGCTTACCTTGATCTTGTGGAGCTAGCTTCTTGCGCTCAGAGGATTCTTTTGCTGTTTGCATTTGCTCTGCAAAAAACATACCGCATAACAAGCAAAACTTTTTTGATCAGATCAAACTAAGGATCTAAGCTGCGTCTACATTGACTGAGGCTCAGTAATTCAGGTTTTCCTTCTGCCTTTGGTTTCGCGAACACTTTTACCAAAGTTAGCTTTTAATTGTTCACTTGAACAGCTCGCCTATCAGAGCTGTAGGGAGTACCTTACTATTGGTAGTTATTAGGGATTAATGTAGACTACTTCACTACAGAGAAGGGCGAATGAACAAGCTTACCTTGATCTTGTGGAGCTAGCTGCTTGCGCTCAGAGGACTCTTTCGCTGTTTGCATTTGCTCTGCAAAAAACATACCGCATAACAAGCAAAACTTTTTTTGATCGTCAACCTACAGGTCTAGCTTGCGGTCTACATTCGAGGGCTCAGTAATTCAGGTTTTTCCTTCTGTGCTTTGGTTCGCGAACACTTTTACCAAAGTTAGCTTTTAATTGTTCACTTGAACAGCTCGCCTATCAGAGCTGTAGGGAGTACCTTACTATTGGTAGTTATTAGGGATTAATGTAGAACTACTTCACTACAGAGAAGGGCGAATGAACAAGCTTACCTTGATCTTGTGGAGCTAGCTGCTTGCGCTCAGAGGATTCTTTCGCTGTTTGCATTTGCTCTGCAAAAATATACCGCATAACAAGTAAAACTTTTTTTGGTGGTCCTAGTTGGTGAGATCGACAGCTGTAGTTTGAAAGCATGCTTAACATTGCACGTCACACACTTCAAAATAAAAAAAGACATTCGGGAAAAAATCTTGAGAATGCTCTTACACTTTTTTATTACATCCGGAACTGAATTGACTTCTTGATTATGTTCCAGCGTCTTAATTAAGAGGCCGCCACGCGTGCGCTTCGCGCCGGGCCGCAGAGGCCACGAAGGCCGTGGAGGCCACAGAGGGCGGAGGCCTTGGCCTCCCTGGCCTCCGCGGAATTTTCCGAAATCGATACGTATACTTTGCTTATTCTAAAAATTCCGCGGAGGCCACGGAGGCCACGGAGGCGCTTGTGTGAACGCGGCCTTACTTGAACCTCTCCTATCAGAATTGTAGGGAGTACCCTACGTAGTTATTATGGGACCAGCGTGAACTACTTCACTACAGAGAAGGGGCGAATGAACAGGCTTACCTTGATCTTGTGGAGCTAGCTGCTTGCGCTCAGAGGATTCTTTCGCTGTTTGCATTTGCTCTGCAAAAAATATACCGCATAACAAGTAAAACTTTTTTGATGGTCCTAGTTTTTGGTCCTAGTTGGTAAGACCGACAGCTGTAGTTTTGAAAGCATGCTTAATATTGCACGTCACCCACACACCTACAGTTCTAGCTGCGGTCTACATTCGACTGACTCAATAATTTAAGTTTTTCCTTCTGCGCGTTGGTTCGCGAACAATTTTACCAAAGTTTGTTTTTGATTGTTTACTTGAACGCCTCGTCTCTCAGAACAGTAGGGAGTACCTTGCTCTTGGTAGTTATTATGAAATTAACATAAACTACTTCACTACAGATAAGGGGCTAATGAATACCTTCGTCTTGAGGGCAAGCTACTTCCGTACGCAGCGTCCCCGCGTTTTCTGTTGCTGTGTAAAACCACGCGTCTACTAACAAAGGGTGGCTTCGCGATAACGCTTAGCCTTGCGGTTTTGGAAAAAAAGCGAGCTGCCGCCTTTTGAAACCAACTTCTCTGGCAAAAAAACTCTCTGCCGTTCACCACTTCTCCTCCGTGTGCGCGAGATGAGGGATGGATCAAGCAAGTCCCTACTTAATCCTGCACAAAATGTACAAGATCGGAATAGAGGGTTTGGTTTTGCTGAACATCTGTCGTACCTTGTCTGTCCTTCTTTCACTTCTATTAATCTCTGCCTCTTCAATATGAAGTCAGGCTCAGGCACCTGGAGATAGCGCGAGCGACAAAAACGGCATCAATGGTGCGCTTTATCCTTTCGACTACAACATATTCTGTTATGTCCAGTGAATCGTTTGCTCATACTGTTGTCACGTTAGCCCGTTCCTTTCCAGGATCAAACGGTTGAGGTGATTGTAGATTTTGTCACCGACGATGTTCGGCTATCATACAAAAGTGACGTGGTATCTCAAAAATAGCTTTGCAGGACCGAGACAGAAACTTTCACACTACTTCGGCCCTTACAAAATGTGCATGCTCTATCCGTTGCCTTATCCGTTTCTAGTCAGATTGAATCAGAACAGGCACCATGTGAAACCGTGTCTCTGATTGCGTGAAAAAAGGTACAGTAATCTATATGCAACTATCAACCCCCACCGCGCCACCACCTGATTATCTGAATTCAGTTACTCTCTACCTATGGAGTAGAACAACACTTCGCTCTCCACTTGCATCGCTGCAGATTTATAGCGTTAGTGTATCGGATAACGTTTATCGTGCTAGGGCGCCTTAGCTTGTTGCTCCTCATCAGGCTGGCTTTTCTTTTGCGACTTCGACCGCCTGGCTTTTCCGGTTCGCTTTTCTCATGCGGAGTCCACCCTCTGCTTGCTTCAGCTTGTGCGACGAACGCAGCTGTTTTTCGATCAGCACCTGCTGCTGAGATTCACTTTGCTGTTCAGGTAACTGTTGCCGATCTGATGGAGCTCTGTAACATTGAAGGCTATGCACTAGTGCAGCATAATTTCCATGTGATCCGCGATTCTAATAAGTTAGAATTACAGTACACCGTCAGAAACGCAGGACTCACTTATCGAGACCATCGCTCTTTGTGATACCTCTCCCTTACTCTGAAAGCGTGATATTCAGGCACTTCGATTTGAGTGATTCTCCTTTGAAGTACATGTGGCGAACGCAGGGCACTTTCACGTTCGCTGTGTGAGGAATAATCTGCCTGCCTCAAAAAGATAAAAAAAGTTCTGGCAAGCCGCTCTCATCTAGCGACCGCAGCCTACTGCCAACAGCAAGCCGTTCAAGAGGTCCTAGAAGCTTAACGCGAAGGATATTCAGTGCAGTAGCAATCTCGCTCTTCCAAACCGACTTCCAACCTGCCAAACAAGAGGACGGGAGCGAAGCTGAAACGGCCTTTTGGCTCTAAAATCCAGAATCTCTGGATCCTAACAAGCGCCTCACGTTGAGCAAAATGCATGATATCATCTAACATGCAAGATGAAGGCACAAGTTCAACACCTTCCAAAAACAGCTGTCTACTTAAACCACACCCCTGTGTCTATCAGGAAACAGCGTCTAGCCAAAAAGACGCGATGTCTACACGTAACGACAGCAAAAGGGGCTAACACAAGCCGAAGTTGCCAACGGTGTCAACATACGAGCCAAGGTGTTCTCAGAGGCAAGATTTAAGAAAACTCACCACTGAGCGCATCGCAAACGGAGGGGAGCCGTTCGTCAATATGCACTGGTAGTCATTAAACTTCGTTTTTCTCTCCGCACTATAGAAATGTCGTCCCTGCTCCCAGAGGTTGCCTTTGCTTGCGTCAATAATCGTATCACGGTCAATGGTGAGGCTGTAATTATTGTCATGAATAAAACCTATGTATAATCAAAACTACTTCTCGTCATCAAGTGGTACGTCGAATGCCTTTGTGCATATGACAGCCAGGCCCGCAATCTCAGGAAGTGCTAGTCTCACAATTCGTTGATCTAGTGGGGAAATAAGGGCCAAACTTCTAGACTTACACGCAGTATATGCAAGGTCACGGAACGAACGAGTTACACCGTGAATTCCGGCCCCTCACGCCTGCAGCGTCATGCGCCACAGTTTTCTGCTCTTCTAAATACACCTTTATTTCAGCAATAAGCGAACAAATAGCAGTCTGCCTGGTGGAGCGAAACACCAAGGACATAGCTGCGTTAGTGCAATAGTTTGTTGGTACGTTGTTTACCGTAATATTAATTTCGTACACACTGTTCTTGCGAGTTGTCGTCGACTAACCATGAGAGTTTTGTTCCGACTCTTTTGTGTTTTTTATAGTGCTGGAGGCAATCAGTTCTAAATTATGCGAACATTTTTGAGCTAGGGTGAGTACAGAAATCGCAGGGTCGGGAAACTAGTACACTGAGATCATGCGGCTGCCGACAAGGGTCTTATTAAAAACGCTCTCGATCGTGTTTTCAAAATCCGGTCGTTTGGTGGGTACAGATTCTTGACCGAGTTCTTCTTATAACAAGTAATCGCAGAAGTTGTTCCAAGCATGCGTAGCTGCAAGATGTTATTAGCTAAGCCAAATAGGTTTGCAGTGGATTCTTTCAATATGGTTGCCTCTGCCTTGGAACTATGCACTACACCGTTTACCCTGGAAGTCAAAGACTTTTGAAAGAAACCCTGCACTAGCAGACAAGTTGGAAAACGCTAATATGCCAAGGTAGGTGAGGCGATCGTTGTGGGGAGCAAGACTAGAATGACTAGACTAGAGTAATCTGTGTACTCACAAGCCTCGGTCAGACCAAACTAGGCTTGTGGAGTAAAGAAGAAAAAGAGGAGAGGTTATGCGTTCAAAGTTATTGAAGCAATCTCATTGGAGAATGTATTGTTCTGCACAGTCAAAAGTCCCAACAGACATCTTCAGAAACCAAGTCTTTGGTCGCTTCTCCACACAGATGACATGGTGCTCAGTATTGAAGATAAGAGCGATCTCGAGCAGGGGGGGGGGGGAGGCAAGCTTGGTCTGTTTGCTCGGCACAGCTCGGTCTCAAGCTGAACATCATAAAAACTGACTACGTGACGACCGATTCAAACGAGCCCGATCCCACTGGATCAGTGGCTTGGGTCAGTATTCGTACTCGATGGCAGTCTGACTCCAGAGGTGAACTCATGTGTAAGTGCAGCATAGGCTAAATGGTGGCACTTCTGCGTGAGAACACAAAGAACGTCAAATTGAGCATCTGTAGAAATGTGCATAGACCAGTAGCGTTATACGGAGTTCGTACCTGCTACCAAATAAGCTGAAGCTCGCTACAGCGATGGAGAGAAAATCTCACGTTGGACGGCCGGGGTCGGATCCAATTTGCAACGGCGACATGAACAATATGGCATAGCTCTCGTAGTTGATAGAATGCGTGAATCTCGTCTCCGTTGGTAAGACTACATACTCCGCGGACACTCTCTCTACCACTGGACTTAGTCTGGAATGGTTTCAACTTCATGGACTGAATGGAGACCTAAGTACAATCGATAAGAGTATCGAATGCTGATTCACTAATATGGCAGTATTAAAAGTGCTATGGCGGACCTCCGGACGAGTTCTGGCGGTCAAATTTTGCGGAAAACTCGTTTTGAAACTTCGAGTTTCGAAAATGTTTGACTCAGGCTAGAGAACTCGTCTGGGAAATCCCATAGCACTATGATTTGCATATTTAGTGATCGAGCTTCGACTCTATGATATATCTGAGGTCTCCATCGACAAGTTCCTATGGGGAATTTATTGAAACCATTCTTTGTGAGAGGAGGTTGCTCGGAAAACGATCCTAACAGGGGATGTGGCTGACACGGTTACTGGATTTTGGACAGTTGGCGATCACGGCAGATCAGGCATTCATGAAAGACATGGCGTCAAAAAATCAGAAGAGCAAACCTCGTCAGAAAGTTTGCCAATCGTTGAAGAATAAGAAGAAGGAAAGAGGAATGCGCCAACCTGCTTTCGTCAGCGAAGATACGCTCATCGAAGCCAATATTCCTTTTTTGCGAGAGTGATAAGCTACCCGCAACGAGCTCTGGAAATTCATTAGTAGTAAGGATGTTCCTATCGGGTGAACCTTCATCTAACTGGGAGCGTCCATGGACTTACGCTAGGTGTCTCCCATCGATACGAAAATGAAGTGGCCAACTGGATGTTAAACAATGCGCTTCCTTGTGGTAATTCATGTCTTACATTGGTTGTGACCATTTTCGGCCGGTGACAATTGAGAATTCCTTATACTCATGTAAAAAACCATTGAATAGACAGCTATCTTGATAAATGTCTGAGAGCCGACTTCATAGCCGGACGAGCATTTTGCGGATTTTTATCGGCAAACTCTGCCGAGATATTTTGACGAGGTATACCCGGATATCAGAGGAGGAAAGTAGATTCAGTTCTCTCAGAACATTTGAATGTAAGAACCCTTCTTCCCGTTACAGTAAATCGGTTTAAGATGAAACTTTTTTATGTATGTATGTAATTAGTTTATGTATGTATGCATGTATTGGGTCGGCCCATAATTAATGGCGTTTTTTTCTCACTCGAAATATCACGCCAAAGATGAGAACTTTTGCCAATGAGTTCTACACTGTTTTGCAGAGAATTCGCTGCTCCTATACGATAGTCTTCTAGTTTTCTCGAAGTTTCTCTTTCCACTAATATTTAAGTGCTCAAACTGGAGTGTCAGGTCGACGAAATTGAGCATTTTCGACAGCCTCTCTTTTGTACTTCTAATTAAAAAGCCAAACCACACAGGTTCAGTTGCTGAGTGTATGGCCAAAGGGCCATGTCTCTTAGGAATGTTTAGAATAGTTTAAGTGAATCGAAAATTTCAATTTCGACCTCAGACAAGCATCGAACCTAATGCACTCTTGACTCCAACTCGGAGTTTACTGGATTACCTTATTCACGTAGATTCATGCCAAAGACTGATCAACCGTTAGAGCTTTTTGGAATGCTTCCTTGTCGTTATCAAGGATCACCTACAGTTGATGTTAGACGCTTAAAAGTTAGTGGGTAGGTCCTGGTCGCTTCCCAAGAGGGCCCCCATGCGATGCACATTTACAAGGTCCGATCCCATCTCTTAATTGTTTGAACCAACTTCAGGCTGTTATAAGTAGCATCTTTCCTTGGTCATACATATCGCAGGTTTTGAGCTCCTGCTGAAGTCTGAGATCCGGGATGAAGTGCAAAATGTCCTACACGCCTGTTGAGGGTTTGTAAGGAGACGTTCCCGGTAGTATGGTTATCTGCCGTTGATTCAGCAATTCGAGGATTTCTTCATCGAAGATGAAGACAATTCCGGGAGCCTAGTGACACTGGATTTGGACTTGCTACGGAAGCGTGTGGAGTGGGATCCACACCAAACTACTCGTCAACTGTCAAGTAGTCTTCGCGTTTCTCACGCAACCGTTCTCCGTGGATTAAAGTCGATCGGAAAGGTCAAAAAGTTGGGTGAGTGGGTCAGTTTTTTCACTCTTGAGCGCACGCATGCGTGGTTCGACAACCTTATAGCTAGGGAATGATAGAATTAGATTCTCCACTCTAACGTGCACCACCGTGCTTAGTAGATCGACGAAGCGGAAGGCGTGCTCAAAACCCAGCCTTCACAGGAAAAAGGTGCGTATGATGAAGCGTTCCTGGTGTAGTGTATGGGCACCTACTAGATGAGGGAACGATAGTGACGGCCAACGTATGACTCAGCTACAAAGCTGAAGAACTATCCCTAAACTAGTGGCGGGCAGCAGACGTCAACTGCCACTTACACCACGACAACGGGTGACATTGACATGGCTTATTGCAAGAACAACTAAGAATGAGCTGACGACGTACAGACTGATCATCTTTCCCTACTCAGCTTACTCTCAAGATGTCGCACCCCTGCCACCTGGTTCCAGACATTCAGCGCCATTTGTACAGCAAAGATTCAAGAGCGTGATGAAATCGAAAAGGAACTAGAGGCATTCGACAGAGCCCAGCCAGCCTTTCCTTTCTGGGGGAAAGGCATCTATAATGTGCCTATACGCCGGTAGAAGACCATAGACAGTGATAGAGCATGTTTCAAATAATCTTACTGTTTTGGTTTCGTGTTGCGGTAAAAATTCTGAACAATTGCATGTAATCCCAAGTTTCATGCTAACCTTTTCTCATTTGGGAAATCCTTTGCCGAAGGTCCCATTTCTGCTTCCGCGACTTTGTCATATTTGCGTACATCACTGGTACGCAGGCCGCAATCTTGTTCACTTCTCTGAAAAGAGATTCAGTTAAAGGGGCTATATCTCTTTATAAAGTCCCACCATCTGAAAAACTGTCTCCATTATCACAAGAATGCTGAGTTATGGGCAAAAGTTGAACCCCAGGCGGGAGTCGAACCCGCACCTCACGCTTTCCGGGCGAGTGCGCTATCCGTTACGCATATCGCACTCGCCCGGAAAGCGTGAGGCGGGTTCGACTCCCGCCTGGGGTTCGACTTTTGCCCATAACTCAGCATTCTTGTGTTATTTTCCGAACGCGAACTGCGGCGTAAAACAGCAGTTATCATCATAAAACAACAACAACATCATAAACATTGTTTTCGTTAGTATGAGGAAATATGAGCTTTTATCACGAGAATAAGACTCACTACTGCGGTCGGCCCATTTGAGGCCATGACCTTCTAGCGAACTTGAGTACAAGAGCCATAGATAGCCCAGTCGCGAGAGTGACAAAAACCTGGGCCAAGCCTGGGTCACGGAGTCTTGCTCGACACTCGGGAGACTTTCCGGACCATAACGAACAGGGAGCGAGACAGAGAACTGTGAAGCCCTTCCTGTTTTGCAAGCGCGTAAAGGCGATACATTGTTGTCTCGTTCGCTGCAGATCCACGGGCGTGTTAGCGAAGGTGCAGCTAGTTTTCCAGCGACTGTGCTCGCCCGCAGCTTCCATAACACATCCAGAAGTGGCGCTGTGCCAAACCCAGCTACCCTAACACAGGGCACAGCATCGTGATGTGTGAAATGGTTGTGTCAGTAGCACCCTCCACCCATCCAAAAGAGGGTCTCGGTACACCCCCCTTCCCCAAAACCTACCAATTTCCCATAATTTTCCGCACATTTTCCCGCTTCTTTTTTCAACCAAGATTTTCCCGTCCGACGAGTATCACAGCGAAATCGTGAAACGGGCAAAGTTCTTTCCGCGATTTCGCTCAAGCTCCTACACTTTTCCGGCGCGCCGCAACATTTCGCCTACACTAGTGGCTACAGATGCGAGCGGCCCCCTTGGCTATCGCAAACGGACAAACATAGACCCCCTCACCAGGCGGGAAAACTACGACGCCCCCCCCCCCCCCCCCTATGTTTTATCCACACCAATAATGCTGTCACGCGCCCCTGCCATGGCCCTCACATCCATCCAAGGCGAACGGCCGCCCAGCCATCGCACATATTACGATCTGGTACCGGGTACTCTGTGTCGTAGCTTAGGCGGCGTCTGTTCTTGTTTTCAATAATTTAAAGCTTCAATTATTAGGATGCTGCCATTTGTTTCGCATTTACTATGCTGCTTACCAGGAGAATTGATTTTCTTTCCACTACAATCATATTCTTCCGCATAAGAACATTTTGCCGGTAGTTTTCTCTTTCTCTGAAAATCCATCATCATCATTGTTTTTACATCACAGCCACACAGCTGGTCGCACGGCTTAAAGCGCATTACCATCCCGTTCTATTGAAATTTTTTCGAGAAAGCACAAAAAATGCCACGTGTAAGGACAGCCTGTGATTGGTGATTGCGGCTGACCCACCAATCGCAGAACAGTCCGTAACTATCGCCTGACTTTGAGTAGTACTACGGGTATTTCTGGAAATCCATACTTGAATGAGATTCTCCAGTTCGGCTTTGCGTTCTTCGAATGTCATGCCACTAGAGTGAAGTACCACATTCGTTGTAATGACAACCTCGTCGCTTTCGGGTTCGATGCGGACCGTTTGGAATGAACGAATCTGAACATTTGGTGTTGTAGTTCTGCCCATGAAAAGGTTTGAAAAGTGAAATGGCTCACAAAAAGCGGTGTGACAAGAGTAAGCCCTTGAGGAATCTGTACTCGAGTACCGGATCGGGAAGTGGAACGACGGCGACTTCGTCCTGGGCTAAAGTGCATATTTATTAGCTACTACTCCCCTGTTCGCGATATCGTGTTGGTTGGGGAAGAAAAGCAAGATATACAGTCACGATTCCTGCAAATGAATAGCGCGTGCGACGGGGGCACGGATTGAAGTGCTGCCAAATCGGCTTTTCCATCAAGGTTACGTGACAACTATAATTCGAATGGCCATCGGCAGAAATCTGCATGTCCTCGGGAAATGTTTATGGACACTCGGCGGACTCAGTTCCTCTGGTCGCTCTGACTTTCTGTTTTCTCTGCGTTCTCATGTGTGGACGGTTCCTGAAGATAGTATTCATTGGGCCACAGTGAACCCTCACATGTTCGTATTTTACCACCCTGATAAGAGGCCAGCACATAGTCCCTCTCTCCCGAAAAAGTTCCGGCGCTAACCTGCGGTATGTTTTTTGCATGCTTTTGATGTATTAGCAGGCTAGGGTTCGTGACTGGATTCTTGAAGCATTTGTGCATGGCCCTGTTACGAAACCCTGTGACGCAGAGGAATGAGGGCAGCGGCTGCCAAAGCATCGAAGCCCAGCCCAGTATGGCGAGCCGGCAAACGGGGATTTTCAAGGAAAGGGGGCTCCGGGGTGGGTAAGCTACTTATAGTCGGTGTAAGCTGGAGTGAGCGAAGTCACAACGGCCATAGAATGCCATGCGGACGAGAGAGTGCGGAGAAAAAGAGAAGATCAACGCGTTCAAAGGGATTGAGTTCAAGTTGTCTGTAGACCAGCAGCCAGAATCCTCTGCTTCTCTGCGCTTTGGCCTTTCGTGCCGGGACCACTTTGAAAAATTGTACTTGTCACGTAACCGGTGGGAAGGGCTGTGGCGATGCTTCCCACGCCCCGGTCACACGCCCCCGCTGTCTAATTTTCGAGGGATCACACGCCGACATATATTTTCGAGTGGGAGCGCGCAAGCGCCCATTCTTTAATGGACTCGATTGCAGCCAAGCGATAATCAATCTGAGTTACAACTGTTGAGCCATAAATCGGTCCAGCCTAACGGCGATATGTTTTTTGCATCTTTTGATGTATTAGCAGCAGGGTTCACGGTGAGCCATCTTGAACTTTTGTGCGCGATAGGCTCATGTTACGAACTGTGACGCAGACGGCGCTAGGAGGGCAAGGCGGCTGCTCAAAGATCGGACCAGTCAGTACTGGCGAAGCCGGAAAACGGTTTTTCAAGAGGAGGGGGAGCTCAAGGGGTGGGTAAGCTGCTATACGTCGGCTGAGTGAGCTAAGTCACAAACAGCACGGGCATAGAATGCATGCGTTACGAAGAGAGTGCGGAGAAAAGAGAAGACAAACCTTCAAAGGGACTGAGTTAAAAGTTGTCGTAGGCAGAAGCTAGAATGTCTTCTTGCTTGGCGCCTTAGCCTTCGTGGCGCCAGGACCACTTTGGAAAATTATACTTTGTCACTTACGGTGGAAAGGACTGCGTCGTTTGGACTTCCTAGCGTCCCCCGCCGTCACACGACTGTCTATCTTCGCCAGGGATGCCGACAGCTATCAGTTTTGGAGGCAACGCCATTCTTTTATGACTCAGAACTGCACCAACGAATCATCTGAGTTACACTGTTAGCATAACTGGTCTCTAACAAAGTAAGGGTAAACTATGTCCTCCAGTGGGAGCTGGACAAACTGGGTGTCAGAGAAACTCATAGTCCCTTTCGTTTTTGTGTGCGAGTTCGACACAGAATTCCTGGTATCGAAATGGAAGTACTGGTTCCAGGAGCGATGGTTCGGAGAAAGCAAAATCTGAAGAGTTCCACGGGCGTAGGGAGGGGGGGGGTTGGGCGGGCAACATAATCCAGTCATTATTTCGTAAATCCTGTCTACGACTTGTCTACTTGTCTGCGATACAAAAACACTTCCACTGCTCCACCCTGCCACGGCTACAATTCTCTTACCATTTACTGACCCTTAACTCCGTTTACACGTCACTCTCGCCACTTGTCACTACGCCACCTCCGAAGCGGTGATGGTGTAGTGACAAGTGGCGCGCTTACCACTCGCGTGGCCCTGGTGGTTCAAATCCCAGGTCGACACACGCCCAGACCAACCAAGCCTTACCCTCCGGGGACAATAAAATGGTACTAGATTGGAGGATAAGAGTACTGACTTGTGAATCTGCTGCCCACCCCCCACCTCCCCCAAGTCATTAGATCACATCGCATTCAATAAGCCACTACGATTCTGAATAGAAGAAGAAAGCGTGCCGCATCTCACAGAGAGATTGATCAACGGGGAAGACTATCCTCTACTTTATCCTTATGTAGTAGACAAATGCAACTAACGTCGTTTTTCTCGGTGTATGTGAAATAGCAGTGTCCATATCAGCTACGCCTGTGGTACCTCCTCCTTGGCCATCCAATCCCAGTCCTATAAATTGTCCACGGTCTGCGACTTGGGTCGGGCCGTGGTCTTGCTCGGCAGCGGCCGCCAAGCGCTGCTCTCTTCCTGAACCCGGATCAACTGGAGCTGCAGCAGCGCGATCTGACTGATCTGTGGACGGCCTGTGCCTCCTCTCAGGTAACACCGGCCATGGTGGTCTATCGTTGTCATAATAGTTGGGCTCTGGTGGTGCTTGTTGACGATCAGACGGTGCTGGCTTATCAGCAGCTTGTTGCTGACCAGATGCTTGTTGAGGCGCACTCCAAGGGTCGGAATTATGAGCTTCCGGTGCAGCCTGTTCGACAGCATTCGGCTCGCCTGGTAAAGGAGAAGCTTGAGCACCTGGTTGCAGTTGGTCATTCGAGGTCTTCCTTCCTGTGTCATCGGATGTCCCCTTGAGGCTGTCTTTTTTCGTCCCCGAAGTTGGCGTCAGCCCTCCTGTTTCATCTGATGTCGCCTGGCCGAGGTTTACCGGTCCCGATGATGTCGTTGTTGTCGTTACAAATGCACCTCCCTTATTCGTTGGACTCGACGTAGTGCTGGACTTCTTGGACTTCTTCTTGTTTCGAGGAGAGCTGTGCTTTTTGAATAAGGTTTCTTGACGCGGTGACCTTTTCTTGCCTTTTTTGCCCGATTTGCTCTAAATTTTTGAAAATGTTCCTTGTTCTAAATTTTTGAAAATGTTCCTTTTGAAAGGATTAGAGATGCAAGACAAATCGCTCACCTTTGACTTCTTCCCGTTTTTAGAAACACTGCTCCTTTTGGAATCAGGACTGCTCGAACTGCAACAGTAACAATAAATTATTCAAATTAAAAAGAATTATTTAAATTTTTTACACCGGAAAGGACAAAGGGCGACTATCACGAACTATTGTTTTTCCCGGTTGGCGTACTGGTCCTTTCCATCGTACTAGAAGGGGGGGGGGCAACAATGGGAAGATACAACCTTTGTGAGCCTCGGCCCATATGACTATCGCGGAATGTCTTAAACGCAGACATCGCATTTATTTCACGTCCAGACGCATCCTTTGAACATGGTAGCCTGGTCCGCAAGCATGGAAGATTTACTAGTTTCGCAACTAACAAGGGAATGGTTTGAACTTCCCATGGAACTTTGAATGGAGACCTAGGTACATCGATAGAGCCTCGAATGCTGATTACGAATATGCAGATTAAAAGTGCTACGGGGACCTCCCAGACGAGATCTGGGTGGTCAAAGTTTGCGAAAACTCAGTTTTGGCTCGTAAGCGCTGCTGATCGATCGCTAGGCAGTGCCACCGTGGCCTATCGGGTAACGGTCTCGCTTCAAGGCCAAACACACCTTGGTTTGCACCCAGTTGACGCGAAAATTTTTGCTTCGCTTCCTATAAGAGCTTTTACTCTAATTTTCGAAATTCTTCCGAGTATTACGGCCCAGCAGAGCAAGTAGATCAAGTATATGACGTACTCGATCGAGTATGGATTTTGGTCATATCTGCCCTCGTCTCTCAACATATACCCATCCGACCGTTGCAGAACGTTTGCCAGAATCGCAATTGGGCCCTACAGGTTTTTACGTTCAAAGGATGTGATATTCGTTTCAGAGAGGTCAAAATTTCCATGCGATTTCTCCCCACAATTCTCGAAATAATCGGAAGGTAATATTTTCAAGAGGCAGACATCAGTGATACGAAATCTATACTAAATCGAGTGCGTCAGATATAATACTTAATCTACTATCTCTGCTGGGGCGTAAACTGGGAGGAATTTCGAACATTAGAGTAAAGCTCCTACAGGAGGCGAAGCAAAAATTTTCGCGCTAACAGGATGCAAACCCACGAGCATATGGCTTTGAAGCGATACCGTTACCACTAGGCCAGCGGTGGCCGACTGCCTCGACGGACCGATCCAGCATGCGCCTTAGATCGAGCGAAACTGACTTCTCGCAAATTTTGACCACCCAGATCTTGTCTGTGGAGGTCCCCGTAGCACTTTTAATCTGCATAATTTGTGATCAGCATTCGAAACTCTATCCATGTACCTAGGTCTCCATTCAAAGTTGCATGGGAACTTGGAAACCATTTTCGAGTAAGTGCGTGGAGAGCGCACACGCAAAGCCTTCGCCCGGCCTTTGACTCCACCTCGGAACGCAGTGGAGACGAAGAACCTCAAGCAATCAGAATAATACTACGCCTCGATCCTCCTGTCCATCTTTCCAGCCACATTTCCAAATGGCCAAACTTATTCTCGTCTTCTACACTGCGGAGCAGCGCTCAGGGAAAGTATCACTCGCCCAGCACAACAGCGGCTACTGTGTCTGAAAGTCTGGACGTGCCCTCTCTTGGCTGTCGATAATACGGCATGGTTCTCTATCTATTAGGTGAAACCTGCGCCGAGTAATCCTCCACGGTGTAGCTTATGGTCAGGCCGCGTTCATACTTCACGACTCAAGCGATTTGGTCACGCGACTATGGCTGACGGCGCTTCATCGCGGAATGTGGGACCGATGGAAAGTTCGAATAAGTTCTATCCTGACTGAGATTAAATCAACAGTGGCCCCCAGCAGAGTAGACTGTTATTGTCAGAGCCGACGCAGCCGTAGGTCGCCATGGTTCCTGAGGCTGCGATCTTACATTGAGCAGCGCTTCAGCCAGCGAACACTTGGCGTCCACGCAAGCGACCATGCAGCGGCTCGATGGATAAGAATGCATGATGAATACGATCTAGCGTTCGAACAGTGTTCACCAGCGTTCGAGCAGCGATTTCAGGCGTAAGTTTGAAGGACGGGAAGTAGGGGGAGAGACAGCGAGGCGTTTGGTGGATGTGCAGGGGCACCGCCGCCACTACATTATCGTACTTCGGGTGTTGTTGGACGCTTGTTGACGGCTGGCGACGCTGCCTGTGCTGGATTTGACACTTTTCCTAGTCACGACGAAGTTTTGATCGCTGGTGGGCCCTGATAGACGCTTTTGTCCCATGTTAGACCGGGACGCAAAGTAAGAACGCGCGCAAATAGCGCAAATCTGAATGGGACGTTTGAGTTGCAAGCATAATCGCAGCCAGGGGCAGGCATTCCATGGTTGGTGGTCCGTACGACTCCCCCTCCCCCCCCCTTCGGCCCGCCGTCCTTCTCATCGATTCGGAGCCGTCGTGCGGGAGGGCGGGAGGGGAGAGGGGGGGGGGGGGGGGGATTATTAGCACATGTGAAACAGAAAAAGTACAGACCGAGTACGACCCCCTCTCTACAATTTTTTCCCCAATCTGCACGTTTTCCTTTTCCAGAAATATTCCGGAACAAAGGCCCCCACTGTTCTCGCAAAATTTTCTGTTGTCCGAGGCGAAAGGGGGGTGGCGAGAGGAGGAAGGGGAAAAGGAGATTAGTACGCATTGAAGCAGAAAGTTACAAAAAGTCAATCAACCCACACTACAACACCGACACGTAAATACGACACCACCCTCCCGAAATAACAAGTAACCCCCGCCCCCCTTTTTTTTACAACGTCCGTGAAGCGAGAAAAATCAACTAACAAAATAAATTTTCCTCATCCCAAATACGACCCCCCTCTCCTGGCGGCCAGATACGACCCTTCTTTTGTTGGATATACCCCAACAACGATGTCCCTTTGCGCTGCTTTTTCTCATCAACGGTAACTGTAAACATCTACGATTTTTTCCTTTTTGGCATAATTTTCAGGCCAGTGCTCTTTTATTGTTCTCTGTGTCCGTCGAGAAATTTTTCCCATAAGTTTCTCGACCACCTTCCAGGAGAATCACCTCCGCCTCACCCTATCAAGGCAAGTTGCTAGACGACTATCTTTATAGGGAAATTGCCTACTTCGATTTGGACTTTGACGATGAGGTTTTCTTCTTCTTCGGTTTGCATGAAAACAATCTCCCAAAGGGACTGCGCTTCTTACGTGGCCCCTGAACGTCCACTCATTATGCTCCATTATTATGGTGATCACCTGCTTGATCACATACCTCAGTCGGAGCTGAAACTGATGTGGTGACCGTTGCCGTCTGACCACCTTTCGTCTTTGCCGATCCAGAAGTGTGCGTCGTTACGCCACTTTCTCCAGTACTGCCAGACGCTGCAACGCCTCCACTCGTCCCCGTGCCTTCGCCGGTCGTCTCACCACCAGTACTTCCACTTGTTCCTCCACTTGTTCCTCTACTTGACCCACCACTTGTTCCACCAGTTGTTCCACTCGTTCCACCACTGCCTCCAGTAGTCTCATTAGTCGAAGTCCCACCAGAAGTGCCACCCGTCGTCGCTGATACCCCCGTTGAAGCGCCATCGCTTCTAAGGGGTGCTGCGGTTTCGAGCTCGTCACTAGTTTTTTTAGATGCCGAGGTCGGCCCGTCGTCAGAGGTTTTTCCAGAACTGCTCCTTTTGGAAGACTTCTTTGTTTTCTTCCCTTTGCTTCCACTACTACTACTGAAAATGATCTTTATTAGAGGGGAACTGCAGAAAAAGCCTGATGTATCGGGACAACCTTTTCTTCTTCGATCCGCGCTTCTTCCCTGCCGCCTTTTGTTGAATTTTGACCTTATGCGGCATTGGTTCTTGTTCGTTTTTCTCTTCCTGAAATGCAGCGAATAGTGAACGCACGCTTCCGCAGAAGTTCAATGGAGCGTTGTACAGTGTTTTTTGCTGCGGGCGCAGGAGCGTTTCAGGGGGGGGGGAGGTGGGAGAATGTTGAGTTTGGCGAAGCGACAACCAGTTTGCAACCATTTGCTGCCACCTGCCAGCTTCAGCAATTGGAGTATAACAGGCTGGCGCCGCGCCCAACTCGCCCGCTCTCCTCGAAATACCCCAGCTCGCGGAGCACAAGGCTCAATACAGACTGTATTCCGCTTCTGACGATGAGCTCTCCTTACTTAGCAATTACAATTACATTTTTACCGGAACTTGAGGTCTGTTGGTACAATGGGACTGTGGAAGAGAAGAGAGACGGCTGCTGGTAATAGCTCTTTTCGAGACAGACAGACGAAAGTAATGGCAGATGCCCGTGCGAGAGACATCCGCAATGTCAAAGAAGCGCTAGTTCAGTGGGAGGGGTACAACATCGACGAGGGGCGGGAATGGACGGGATCAGTACGACTCGCTCCGCAAATCCTCTCCCTTGGTGCGACCGCTTGCAAAACTTAGGTATTCCCAAGATTTTGCCGTCGAGTGTGGGGAGGACGGGGCGGGGGGGAAGGGACGGAGAGGAGGGGGGAACTCAGCGACGGCTGTGCCAAGCGATATTGCAGCGGTAGCGCGAAGAATGACCGAGCAGTGACCGATATTTAAATGGTACGCTTCAGAATTGTGTCCATGCATTTAGCATCCAGCTTCACACTCGCATATGGTGTATTACTTTCGCCAATCGAAGGGGCGAGATGAAGCGGCCACAGACGTGTGACTTTGGTGGACTTTGTTCTTTTCACGGTGCAAGGCAACGACTTCCAAATTACGTGTATGCATTCGTTGCCTGCAGCGTCGTAGGACCATTTTGTATGCTCGTCGGAGAGAGTTTCGGCATGTGAACTCTTCTGCGAGCTCAGTAGTTGTCTTGCTTCCCCTCGACACCTTTCCGGAAACAACAAGCCACTAGCAGTCTATTTGGAAAACCAAGATGCGTGTGGGCACTGCTTAAATTCAGCTGTGCTGCATAGATTTAGTGCAAAAGCTCGTCGTGCATTGTTTACCGTAGTCGTAGCTTCTTGCACAGAGTTTTCGATAGCTAATTTTGTCCCAGTGTTTTTGTTTATCGTTTCCTTTCTCTAGTATTATATGGCAATCAGTACTGGAAGATGCGAAGAAATGATTTCTGAGCGAGAGGTTGCGCAGGGCCGCAGGGTGTGTATTAGTCCAGAGAACTCGTACAATGAAGCTGTGTGACTGTCACGGAGAGGTTTTGTTCCAAGTGTTCTCAGTGCCTGCTTCCTCCTGCACTGAACAGTCCTTTATGGGTACGGTTCATATTCGAACAGCTTTACCCGTAATACGTGATCGTGGGAATGGTCTTTAACTGATGCGCTGTCAGTGGCACCGGAGTGCCTAACGGTACATATGGTATGGTCGCTTTTTAGAGAGACGATAGCCTGACTCCTCAAAAAAATCCTTGAAATATGTTGTCAGCTGTCTTTCAAGTCTGAATGTTGTTTAGATTCTTCATCTAATCCTTCTCACCATGTCTTAGTTTTGTTTTCTGTTTATCGGCAAAGTGCCTACGAGCTTATTGTCTTTGCACTGCTTCGGCGGGGTGTTCACAGGCGCTTAATCTGTTTGCAGGAGTG